AATTGTTGAGAAGAAACGTACCGGTAACCACGCTAGGATCTATCATTGCTTCTTGGTGGCCAATTGCCAAAATTCTTCCTACACCGCCAGCATTCCTTGTCTTTGGGCAGTCTCTCTTGAAGTGTCCGGTTTCGTCACACTCATAACAAGCTTGACTTACTCCCGCGACGGGGACTTGACAGATGGGCTGTGCTGGCACTTTACAGAAACGGGCGGTGTGCCCCTTCCTGTTGCAGTTTCTGCATTGCATTTCCCTGTAAACTCCCGTGTGATGGAAGTTACACTTATTACACTTTGGCAAAGTCCCAACATATCGAATCGGGGGTGCTAGAGTAGTAGAAACAGTGGTAGGTACAGAAGTAAGAACAACAGCAGGAACAATAACAGTGTGTACTGCCACAGTTTGTTGCTTCTTTGAAGGCTCTTGCGATGATTTCCCCTTTCGTTTGTTCCATAACTTCTTTTTGCTGCCTCCTTCTTTGATTTTTTCAAAAACGGCTGGCATGGAGCCTTGACGAACTCCATGATCTACGAGTGTCAGTGCCAGATGCTTGACACTATCGAAAGTAAGTGGATTGGCAGCTATAACGTTTCCTTGAGTCGGGGGAGTTAACCCCCAGATGTATCTTTCTACTTTCTTACTCTCCGGGGTCACCATCCCGTGACACAGAAGAGCCAGGTCACTGAATCTAGCAGTATATGCAGCAATATCGGAGTCATTCATCGTCAGAATCCAGAGTTCCTGCTCTAACTTTTGTATATCGACTCTAGGACAATATTCTGCCAGCATCAGAACTTTTAAGTCTTCCCAGCTCATGGCATTGGCTACTGGGAGAGATAACGACTTGACATAGTCGTTCCACCAAGAGAGAGCTCTATCCAAGAAAGTGCATGCTGCAAATTTTACTTTGCTAGCTTCGGGGCACGCACAGATTTCAAACACCGATTCGGTTTTCTCGAACCAGCGCGTTAGAGTAATGACACCTCCGGTGCCATCAAAGGATTTGGGTTTAGCATTCGTGAAGTCTTTATAAGAACACTCCCTTGGGTGTCCAAATCTTTCCCCGTGATTAGACTTGTGAGCACCACTACCGGCTCCACTAGTACCACTGGCGTTAATTTGCGTCATATCCGCAGCCACGTCGGCTGTTACTGTTTCTTGGAAAATAGCAGCGTCATACTGTGGAGGTGGTGGCGGTGGTGGAATTGGTGTATTGTTGTTGAAACGCCTATTTGATGTACGTGGCGACATCTTTTTCTATAGAGATTAAAGAGGAAATGATGATAAGTCCCCTATAGTAGTTACAAGTCAGGTGATATTGAACAAGATATATCTTAGTTCTAAACGTATCATATCCTGACTTTCATAGTGTTCTGCAATTTACAATAGAAATTTACTAATGTAAGTAAACAATCGCAATTTCAATTTATGAAATTTATAGCAACTTTTCTAAGGAATTTGTAAAGTATGACTCATACTGGGTCCCCCTATAATCACATAGTGTATACAAATTATATATAATCAAAACTAAATAGACCTTCGAATAAGTGATCCTACTCTAAGTCCACAACCAAACAAGGAACAGGAAGTAAAGCTAAATCACCAATTCTAAGTCTATTAATTCTTAATTATATATAACTCTTATGTATACACTTTGTAATTATAGATCTACCAGTAAGGGTCCTTTGTTTTCACATGATTGATTCTAGTAAGAAAGACTTTCTTGAATATTGTTGTTCCAGTGTTATAGTGCCATAAAATACTCCTATAGTATTTTAACTTTATGTTTGGTTCTAGAGTTCTTCTGGTATATAGATTTGGTAAGTTTTAAACTTGTTGCCACACCACTATCACTCACAAACACATGTTGGTCGTATCTCAAATAAAAATAGTTGATCAAGCTATATTTATCTCAAATATGATTACATAACTGTCCAGGTTTAACTGCAGAGTCCAACATCTAAATACTTTTATGTAGTTCTCACTGTGATACTGTTTCTTGTATGTATGTATGTTAGTATACTTCTTATAAAATACTTAGATTTTAAAAGTATTCTTTTAGTCAGAGCGTTTCAGCCCCATTGTATTTATAGTTGTATATCTTTTGTGGTTTGATATACTTAGTTCACTATAAACAATGCTCTGATACCAATCTGTCACACCCCAAACCGGAACGGTGGAAACGTTCGGGGGCGGATGACGTCTTGTACAGTATCACAACAATTGCATAATAGTAATCAAAGTACAACAACCATTACATTGATAAAGTATTGTTTTACATTCGTGTTCAAATCAATGTATACTTGACACCAAAATGTATAGCAAAAACTAAAAGACATGAGTCTATGAAGCTTCGTCTTCTCAAAACCTGTGGATACCTGTTACTGATTTCCTGAGAATACAAATAGTTTTGAAAAGAGTGTCAACAATTAAGTTGGTGAGTTCATGAGCATGTTTGTAACTGGAATCTATTATTTGTTCGTTGAAAATGTAAGTATGTTTTCCCAAAAAATCCTATATTTTCTGTTGTAATGTGTTGTAGTCTTAATACCCTTAGACCAAAATGTGTAAACGTTATTGTACTCTGATATAGTATGATGAAATTTTAATTCATATAAAACCATGAAAAGTATGTTTTCTCTGTACTGGAATAGTATTTTGTATTTGTACTTGTATAAAAACTATATAATTGTAAGTGCCTGGATTCACCAGCTGTACTTGTAAAATACTGTATTATAGTTTTATTATTTAATAAAACTATGTGAAGTTGTTTACCTATTCATACACTAATCGTTTTGTTCAATACCAAATTGTGAGTTATCATAACCATGCTTGGTGACCTAAGATGGCCTGAACACAACGTTCTTCAGGCGTCGTAGTTGGTACGACATTTGTCACCCAATGCATGTTGGCCTAACTATAGTGAATAGTTATGGTGCGGGATTGTCAGTCCCGTATAGATCTATACACAAGTGTCACGCTCTCCCTCCAGGAGACTTTGGTTATAATTTCAGGACTTGGTTGATACTTAGATAAGTACGTGAAGTGTGTCTCACAAATGCTATATTGGCGGTTACGTGTAGAATAATGAAAAGTTACTTTGAAATGGATAAACTGTAAATATATCTCATAAACTATATTTATTATAGTTTATATGTTTGTTTTCCATAATGTATTCTGAATATGTAAAATAGTGCATATGATTCATAAACTATGTCTATTATAGTTTATATGTTTGTTTTCCGTATTGTATTCTGAACTTTGAAAAGTAATATGTAAGTTCCATAAACTATACATATTATAGTTTATATGTATGTGTTCTACTGAAACGAAAACCTTTGTATTGTTAATAATTCAGCAAGTTTAATTCATATAATCTGTGATACCGTTGTTCCTTGAAATTCAATATTTACATCCAAATGGTATTAAAATAGTTTGCAAAAATATATTTTTGTTTAACAAGTTTTAAATAGTTTTATACTTATATAAATATAATATTTATATAATTATGATTAAATAAGCAGTCAAATAAATAATTCTACCCCAAGCCCACAACCAAACAAGAAACATCAAATGGAGTAAAATTATCAATTCTAAGTCTGTTGAACCTTATATATATATATATATATATATATATATATATATATATATATATATATATATATATATGTTTTTAATAACGGCAACGATTGACAAAATATTGAAAACATTTAGATATTAACACAAATTTCTTGTGTTACACTTGTATTCCCCCCCCCCCCCCCCCAAAACAGTGAAAAATCATGAAAACGTAGGGGTATGGACTCACCTCGGTTGCGTGTTCTTGGTTGGTTACGATGTGTTTGTGATGATTCTCGGGTTAAAACACGTTTTAACAAACGTATCCTAATAATATTATACACACAATATTGTATTCAAAATTAGTGAAATGAATGATTAATAAAAATGTTATATTAACACTAAATAATAGAAGATACTTACCAAAACTTGTAATTATTTGGAAGAATCAAACTCTTAGAAAGAAAAGAGATTCGAAATTGAGAGAGAAATAAAGTGAAAAATATCGACTGGAAGTGTTTAAATGATCCATTTTGTTGTTTAAATATGAAGGAAAAAGGTAGGCGGTTTGAAGATTTCGGTCGAGAAAGGAGATGATTTCGGTCAAAGGTTTGCGGTCCGAAGTATAGGTGGCCTCGCACGTTTGTGATCTTAACCGCAAACCTGATTTCGGTCCGAGGAAAGTGGGTTTGCGGTCCAGCTGTTTGCGGTCCGAGGGGAGGCATCCATGCGAAGGTTTTCGGTGGAGTAGGTTTCCTGATCCATTTTTGATGTTTTCGGCCAAGTGTTATAAATTTCTAAATTCTAAAAATCAAAAACATATAGTATATAATAAAGTTATTTCCCTTATATTTAATTACTTAACGACTTTCCTTGACTTTTATTCAAATAAATTTAACTTACGTTAACTTAGTCAAATAAATTTAACTTACGTTAACTTGAAATAACGGGTTGATATACAAATCCATAAAATGTTTTCATTAGTGGACAATTAATGCAACATATGGATCAATTTTACAGGTTACTATTGTTTTTAAAGAACCAAACTAGTCTTTGGTTTTTTCTTCAATATAGGAGGATAATTTTTTATTAGATAAAAACAAAATGTTTTTTTTTTCTATTTTTTTTTTAAAGCATAGAGAATATAGTCAATAAACGACGGTAGGTAAAACAATTCACCTACAAAAGAGTTGTATTTTATCATAAATATTATAAGCAAAACAAGGTGTAAAGGTTCTCATCTTATTAGTAAATGTGGAAAAAAATTCTAGCATGATCAAACATTAAAGTATGTTATGTAGTGCGTAGAAAGCACGTTGTTTAAAGTTATTTAAAATAACAATTGGTCTAAATTATGTACCTAATATATGTTTTATGTTTGCAAATTTCCATATATAATAAAAGACATAATTTATTATTATTATTTTCAATTCAACTTAATCATACATCTTTAAACCTCTCACCTATTCCTCACAAGGTTGTACGCATTTATCAAACCAATTTCTCTTTAATATTTTGTCAATGGAGGAGACAACCAAACCTCCACAACCGTCACTCTCCTTACCATGGAAAACACGCATTCATCTTTCCTTTTTCTCCGTCGTCACGGACGCATGTTGCCGGAAAAATGGCACTGTCAACCGTCGTCTTCTTAACTTACTCGACTTCCGAATTCCGCCAACCTCAGAACCAGTCAACGGCGTAGCATCACACGACGTGGTTGTAGATGAGACTCGTAACCTCTGGTTCCGTGTTTACGCACCTACACAACACGCAGGTGAAGATCTCCCGGTGATCGTGTTCTTTCACGGAGGTGGATTCGCCTTTCTCTCCCCTGATGTCATGCCATACGATGCTGTGTGCCATCGATTCGCGAGAACAGTTCCGGCCATCGTTGTTTCTGTAAACTACCGGCTTACTCCTGAGCATCGGTATCCGGCGCAACATGATGACTGCTTCGATGTGCTTAAGTTTCTTGATGATGAAGAGAACAAGTCTAAATCGTTGCCGGAAAATGCGAATCTGTTACGTTGCTTTCTTGTTGGAGATAGCGCCGGTGGAAACTTAGCTCATCATGTTGCTCAACGAGCCTGTGAATTCAACTTCCGACGACTCAAGGTATATTAATCATTAATAACTAGAGCCACAAGCCCACAACAAGTGTCTTTAACAGTTTCTGTAATCATAACTATTGGTAAGAAAAACTTGCATCATGTTTGAAGGTGATCGGAGTTGTAGCAATTCAACCATTCTTTGGGGGCGAGGAGGGGACGGATTCCGAGACCCGACTCGATGGAACACCGATTATTTCGAAAAAGCGAACAGATTGGTTTTGGAAGGCGTTTTTGCCAGAAGGAGAAGGGTTCAATCGGGACCACCCAATCAGCAACGTTAGCGGCCCAAACGCGGTGGACATATCAAAACTAGACTTTCCGGCGACTATGGTGGTGGTGGCGGGATTCGACGCCTTATATGACTGGCAAAAAAGGTACTACGAGTGGCTGAAAAAGTCAGGGAAAGAAGTGTACTTGTTTGAGTATCCAAACATGTGTCATGCTTTCTATCTCTATCCTGAATTGCCTGAATCTGGACAAGTTCTTGCCCAAGTGAAAGATTTCGTTCACACAGTATCGAGTAATGTTGCCACTAAATTCACAAATTAAAACCTTGGCTAATAATTCGTTTTATTACGTATGCATTATTAGTTGTACCAAACTCTTATTATATCGAATGATTTTGGCCCGGTGGTTCATTGGTTGGTCTACAGATTTTAAATGACTTTTTCCAAAATAATATGTATATTTTATTTGCTTTTTTCATAATTTTTTTTGTGAGTTTTGAGAATATGATAGTTTATAAAATGATTGAAAATATTTAATTCTGACGTATGACCGATGATTGCCAACGTATCTAAATGACGGACTATTTCTTTTGGCACATATAAGGTATTGTAGAGTGCTTTCCAATCAGTCGGTGGACGTAGAAACATCCGATAATAATGGAACCAAAAAAATAATAGTGACATTAATTTTATATAAAGCATCATAATAGACTAATAGTGGCAAAAAAGGTAAACAACGCTGCTTTCCACCAGCACTAGGGATGAAAGTGGGTCCAAACTCGGATCGTTGGACCCGGATCGTTGAACCCGGATCCGGAAAACCAGGAACCCGGAATTGACAAATTATAAGACCCGATAACCGGACCGGTATACGAGAACCGGTTCCGGTTCGGTTCCAGGTATCAGACCGGGTAAAGTGGGTATGGAACCGGTTGGAACCGTAATTTGAACATTGGAACCGGAAACCCAAGATTGAAACCGAAATTTTGGAACCGAAATAAAAAAACTTCCAAAAATACCCCTGCTCTTATTTGCATTGAAGAAAATGTTTCAAATATATTGTCATGTTATTAGTCAAACACATAAAACATGTTACAGTTTACCTTGTTTCAATTAAATATAACAAAAATGAAGCTTGAATGGTAAAACCACTTCAAAACAGTCATGTAACACATGGTAAAACACATGTGTTAACTAAGCACATGCCGGGTAAGTGGGTATTATGCAACTTTACCAATTTAAAATGACAAATGACAATTCTATCCTTTGATTATCAAGTCTTTATGAAAAAAGTTAGGGGTATAATGTGGAATTGTGGATTAACAGAAAGCCATTGATAAGCATATGTCACGTGTTTCTTATACCTTTTCTTCTTTTTTAAAGTTTCAAGAAAGAAAAGTTGCATTTTGACTTTCAGAATGACCAAAAAGGTCAAAAAAAAAGGTCAAACTGTAACTTTTGTGCACAAAATCAAGATTGGAACTTAATTTATTTGAATGGGATGAAATAACCATTTGCCCTTTTAACATTTCAAATTCCAAGGCTACGATTGAAACACAAATATCACAATAGTTGATTCCATTACATAACATAATATTTGAATGTCCACCATTGTCGATTACAGTGAAGGGCAAAAAAAAAAAGAAAACAAAAAACAAAAACGAGTTGTGTATCTTCACAAGACATGAAATCAAAATTCTTGACACTTACTTGTGTATCTTCATTGTCGTCGATCACAGAGAAGGGCAAAAAAAAACATGATTGAATTTATTTGATGATTATCACAAACAGATGAGGATCCTTTCAATGTCGAGCAGAGAAAAGAGAGTTGTCGAACGTCGATCACAATAGATAACCCTTCAGTTCCGGTTCTTTTACCCTATACCGGTTCCTTGGACACTAAACCGGTTCGTTGGCCCACTAAACCCGGTTTCGGTTTTTTAAACATATCCGGTTCAAAAAAATTCGGATAACCCGGACCCGTTGGACCCATACCCGAAATACCCGGAACCCGGATAAGAGTAATTTTGGAACCCAATACCCGGACCGTTTAAGCATTTTCCGGTTATACCGGTTCCGGTTCCGGTCCGGTTTTTCGGTTTTATAACTCATCCCTAACCAGCACTTTGTGGCTTTTTAGGTGGCAACAACCACCACGGTGGTCGTGGTGAATTGTGGTATAGAGTACGAGCCATATCGAATGATTTCACTTGTTGATTAGCCTTTGAACGGCTAATTTTTTTTAGATTTTATTTATTTATTTTTATCTTTAAATACAACCCCATACAGCCATATTTTTTACATATTTCTTTTTTTATAATAATAAATAACATAAAATGGATTTTCTTTTTACTAATTTGATTCGGTTAATGATGAGGAGTTTATCGCAACATTCTTAATTGTTGTGCAAAACATAGCCGATGAAGATAGTATAATTGTTACTAATACAAGAGTAGTTGTCAAATTAGATCGGCAAGTCACACGTGAACTTCTGATATGTGATTATTTTGCTGATAATTGTCTTTATAATGATGCAACATTCGAATGTCGTTGTCGTCTTAATAGGGCATTATTTTTATGTATTAGTAATGTTTAGAGGCGCGGCATGAATTTTTCGGCAAAAACCAGATGCTAGAGGTAGAATGGTTTTAATGACATACATAAATGTACGACTACACTTAGGTATTAAAGTTACAGTGCCTATGATGCATTAGACAAGTATTTGAAAGTATCTGAGAAGGCCGCAATTGAGTGTGTAATCGACTATGATACTCGAAGCTGTTGCATCTCATGATTTGTAGATGTGACATGCGTTCTTTGGTGTTGTAGAGTCTGACAATGACAATAATGCTCTTGGTCAGTCTGCGATTTTCAATGATATATGGACCAGGAAAGCACTTTTATATGTCCTTCATAGTGAACCTGCATGAGTACAAACATGGTTATTATCTTTGTGATGGGATATACCCCGATTACTCCACTTCGAACTGAAAAACTAAAGATGTTCACAGAAAAAGGAATATGCTAAAAAGGATATAGAGAGCATCTGGAGTCCTTAATCAGAAATAAAGTTTTTTGAAAAAATGGGTCGAATTTAGAAACCCTTTGCAGGTTGATTTTTTTTCCATTTGTAAAAATGAGTTATTTTTTTGGCCCCACATAAAAACAAACAAAACAAACATATCAACATATAAAATTTACATTTAGCACCTTTAAGTTTCATAATAACCCCACAACTTATATATTATTTATTTTTTATATATTTAATTTTTCAAGTTTATATTTTAGTATTTATTACATATAATATATAAGTTTATTATTAAAATTACATAATCGAAATTTATGTAATACTTTAAGCAATAATTATTAGTATAAAAATTTAGACAAAGACTTCAAATATACAAATATCAAGTATGTCTTTTAATTTAATTTAATATATATATATATATATATATATATATATATATATATATATATATATATATATATATATATATATATATATGTGTGTGTGTGTCAAATTATTTGTAGAAAAAAAAAGTCATTGAAATGTCATCCTTTATCTACAAAATAGATGTCTCAACTGTCATTATCCACATGCAAAAGTAGATGTCTTAATTGTCACTATCCACATGCAAAAGCAAAAGTATGAATTGTCATTTTCATCTGAAAATATGTAAGTAAAAGTGAAAAAAAATAATTATAACTTTGTTTACGTTCAATTCATTTTTTGATGTATATATTGAATTCACCATTTTAGTTTCCATTGTCATTTTCATAAACCAAAGTTCTCACAAATTTGAAATCTCGGCTTTTCTACTTTAATTCTTTAGTCACATTTGTAACTCCATACACGAATCTTCATTCACAAGTAAACTGTAAGGTACATACTATTGCCTAAATTTCAAATATCTATTGTGAAACATTATATAAAATATGATAATTTATGTATTTTATATTATTGTTTATTTTGCAGTTAAAAATATTGTGGCATACGAATACTACTCTTGTAGATCTTCTTAACAATTATGGAGTATCACGGCCAGTTCAGTCTATTGATTTTATCACCAACCCCTTTAAGGTACAAATTCCTTTACCTAATGGTGATAGATGTGTGACAAATAATGACTTTGGATTTGATGAACCCAACTCCCAATTTAGTGAAGATAGTGTTAGTGAATCATTAAGTGATGTTGAGGATTAGTTTGACGATAATGTGAATGAAACTCTGATTGTGAGTAAAAGTCCAATTATGAACTTTATGAACGATATTGGAGACGAAAGAGACGATGACATTGTAACATCCCAAAATTCAAGACCAAAAATTTCATTTTTATTAGATTATTATAAAAGCAACCGTATAATAAAACATCCGTAATAACATCTCATGTCAAAACCAAAGTGTCAGTAATCAAAACATGTTATCATAAAATAATATCAGAGTATAATCCCAAAGATCTCATGTGCGGAAAACATAGTGTGATGCGCTGCGATCAAGCCGACTCCTTTCCTTTGAAAACGAAGTAACTGAAAACCGTAAGCACGAAGCTTAGTGAGTTCCCCTATCATACCACATACCATACTACACATATATTGCCAAGCATATCCGAGTGTTGGCCTACCTCTTCGGTATCGTTCAACCGGTATCCGGGGACTGTCCCCCTATCATTACCACGTAATAACATAGCATAACATACATAAATATATTGTCAGGCATATCTGGGTGTTCGACCTACCCCTTCGGTATCATTCAATCGGTAACCGGGAGCTAACCTCCCCTTCGGTATCTTTCAACCGGTAACCGGGGAGTATTGCACCCCTACCACTATCACATAATAAAATATCATGATCATACTGCTAGGCATGCATGGGTACTATCTACCCCTTCGGTATCTTTCAACCGGTAACTAGGGTTATATCACCCTACCACTACTAACACATATGTCGTAGCATCCTAGCACATAAAGCATATCAGATGATAACACACCAGATAATTATCACGAAGACAATCATCTAACAAACAACTCCTACTATTGGGCCGGCATTGTGGCCGTAGACCCACTCCTACTGGAAGGTAACTCACCTCACACTGTTGAAGTCCCGCAGACCCAACCCTACACTGCTGAAGTCCCGTAGACTCAATCCCAGCTGCTGGATGACAGATTCCCGAACAGTCAACACCAAAACATCACCCAATTAATAATTGGGTTCCAAAACATAACCATAAATACATACTTGGGGGGTAAATACTACTTTTCCCCTAACGTAGCTTTATTCAAGCCCAAGGCCAAATCCAAAGGCCCAAAAGTCAACTATGAGTCAAAGCCCAACACATTGCATCCAGCAGATTCCCGAACGGTCAACACCAAAACATCACCCAATTAATAATTGGGTTCCAACACATAACCATAAATACATACTTGGGG